GTGTAAGTATTTTCATCAAGGATTTGCATATTGAAATAATCTTAATAATAAATTGTTTCGAAATTTTATTGGAAAATGATTTCAGTGATGATGCCGATGGGTTGTTAGAATTTAAACATGATGAACTAGAAGAATTAGAACAGCAAATTACGATCAGTTCGTTAGACGAGGTATACAGCAGTAACCGGACTTTCGATTTCTGTTTATTTATATAAGTAATGTTATTTTTATATTTTAGTGGCATGTAGGCACGGTTAACGTGACAAGAAAGTTTAAAGAGTATCAAAGACAACTAATATCAAGTGTTAGATAATAAAAAAGATCACGTGGATTTCACCATAATTAATAAATTGCTATTGTTGATCATTGACATTTTCAGTAACGATTCCCTTTTGAAAAGTACCCACCATACCATACTATTTATTACATGATGTACATGTAAATCGGGATTTACATCTGTCTGTAATAGCGATAGTATGACTGAATCGGCTCCTGATACAACAAAACAGATAACTGAGATTGTTGTTGTTGCAGAAGATGAGACATTGAACGCCGACAAAACCATAAAGCCAAATACCGACGACTACTGTAGGAAATTGGACATAGGAGGGCAAAAGGTAGTCGTAGTTAAGCATGAAGACGAGATCGTTAGCGGAGGAAGAGGAGTCTATAACTACTGTGTGCTGGGAAGCCCAGACCATGTAGGTAAACCAGTTCGAATGAAATAATATATGTGCAAAGTGACAGTAAAACATTTCAAGTTTACGTATTAAAACCAAATTGTCTGTAGGTTGCAGCGTTAAAAGTAAAAGTAGACGAATTAAAAGAGTATTCCGCCCGCCTAGAAAGAGAACGCGCAGAAGCCGTAAGCCGCTCAGAATCTGTAACCGGTGAACTTGACAGGCTGGTCGCCGAACTCAAACAGCTCGGGCACGCTGATGCAAACTCAGAGCAAACTATCCATGCCACTGTGCACACCTTTGGCAATCTTCCGAAATTGGAGATAATTGCCGATGAAGAAGATAGAGACTATTTGCGTTTGATCAGAAAGCCAAGAGTAAGGCAATATTGGCATGATGGTGTGTTACATAGAGAGGCAGAAGAGAGAACGATGAGCTATACTGAATTGTTTTGGGATTTGATATTTGTCGGTGTGGTCAGGATTATTGGACATACACTAGTCAGTGATGTTAGTATCACGTCATTGAAACATTACTTCCTCACGTTGTAAGACTGCTAATTTACTGTTGTATGATATTTAATCAATAGCTAACTAAATTTTTTAGTAACGCTCATTCTCTTCTTGCGCACCCCAACTAGTTATCCGCTCTGGAGACTGTGGACAGATGTACACACTTATTTAAACGTATACTCGTCTGATGATCTTGTTCAAAAATTTGTTCTTCTCTGGGAAGGCGCAATTGCAGTCGGCATGGCAACACATTCTGAAAAGGTTGACGGGAACGTTGGACAATTCTACATTGGTAAATTGATAAGAAGATTCTTCTAATCTTTACATGCAATTTTATCGCATATTCACGCGCTTTGTTTCTATGTTTTGCCAGTCTCTTATATAATCGGCCGCCTGACCTTTGCCGTACTGTACCTAAACTTTGCTCGATTCATCCCAATGTTTCGCGTTAGCTTTATTACCAATTTCTGGGGTATTGTCATTCCGTGCATTCTCTGGGTGGTTGCGGCTGTCGTACCCAATGATGACACACCGGGCCTGGTTTGGGCAGCCATCGCATTTGAAAACTTTTGGTATGGTTTTGTGCCTCTTTATAACCGTTATGGAACCAAGCATCCGGCGAACCATACACATACGGCGGATTTCGAACGAGTCGATACAATCACTGAAAGCGAGAAGGATGATACGATCATCGACGAAGGAAAAGAAGAGAAATTTCCGGATATCAAATTAACTCCACATTTGTCAATGCGGACAAAAGGAACAGAATATCAATGGAAATGGACCGATTGGTTTTCGATATTTGAAATAGCCAAGTATAGGCCGGCTTTAAATATTGAGCATTGGAGTGACAGAGTGGGTTCGTTCGCAGTGATATGCTTGGGAGAAATGGTAAGCTTTACAGTCGATGATTAGTGAATTTTTCGTACATAGGTTATTTCGATGAACGCCTTCGATGCTAACAGTAATACTACAATTCGCTTAGGTAATAAGCATCCTGTACACAAGTTATAATACAGTCCCAGACGGTATATTCGGAAAAGCCATTCTAGGTTTACTATTTGCTTACAATTTGCACTGGATATACTTTGATGTCGATGCGAGCAGACAATATCAACATGCACTTAGAAGACATGTCATTACCGGACTCTGCTTCGGGTTAATTCATTTACCATTGGTTAGTAGTTTACGTTACTGTTATTATGCAAGAATGTCGACTAATGTAATGCTCTCTTTTTCTAGGATATGGCTCTGATTGCTGCTGGGTAAGTAAATTTTAACACCCGCATTTTGCTGTTAGAAATAAAACATTACCAAATGGCTGTCATATCATTTACTAATACAGTTGGTAAAATTTCATTATTATAATAGGGTTGCGCTCTCAGCAATAGTCCAAGCAAGGGATTTTCCGGGAGCAAGTAGTATTCCCGATGGGTCGTTGACTGGATCATCCTCTGATTTGTCATCCCATCTCAATACCAACTCGGCGCTTGCTTATGTCACTTCTGATGTCGAAGGGTCATCTGCTATGCCCAAGGACTTGATATGGCTGTTTTGTGTGTCATCGGGTGTTGTATTGTACTGCATGGCTAGCATTGGAATGCTTCATAAGGGATTAGATACCGTTGATTCCTTGAGGATACCTAAGGTAATGTATTGGGATAGTTATGTGTGAGAGAGATCATACAGAACGATGCGTGTTACAGAGTAATATGTGGTGTTTAATCAATGCTGTCGTATTTGTAAATAGTCTCACGATATCAGTTATTTTGTTTCGATTTTTTTCGTAAACACGTAGTTTTCGCGATTCTACTAACGTTACTCTGTTTTCTATCTAGGCGTACCGTATATCTTTGCGATTAATAATCGGCACCATCTATATACTTCTTCCACTTGGCAATCTCAACTCACTCGACTTGGTGATAACGGTCTCAATGCTTTCTCTTCTCCTCGTTATCATCGAAACGTATGGTCGCTTGCATAAGAATGAACCTATATTCTTCAATTGCGATCAAGACATCATCGGCGATAGCTCGACGATGACGAGAGCAAAATATATTAGGTGGAGGTGGGGTCCGTTGAAGAAGACGCAGCGTAGATGGTCGAGGGGTGTGTTGAGACAGAGAAAGGATAAGAAGGACAATGCAGAGAACGTTGTGGACGATAAGTATTTGAATGAGATATGATAATGGCGGTTGAGGGACGGGGCGTTAAGAAATTCGAGGATGGGAGGCTTGGGTGAAAAGGTGTTTAAATTTTGGATACAATAATGACAAACGCGATGTGTGTAATTTAATACGATCTGATAGGGTACATTGTGCTATGAAAACTAAGATATTGTTCTGTTTCGTGCTATTTGTATTATTGAACTTTTGAAACTAAAAGCATAAATGTAATACTGTAATTCTAATTTCAATCACAGACCGCATAATAATAAGACAATGAAGTGAATTGATCCATAACTTAATGGCGTTGTTGGCTTGGCTTGGCTTGCTAGCTGAATAGCTGTCTTGTGTTTATAAACCGAGGTTTCTGTGTTGATTATATCGAAATGCAGATTGACATTCTCCCATCAATTATTCTCAACACATTGGTTAAGTGATGTTTATTGCATTATATATATATAAATAATAGCTTATAATTCTGACAATATACCTTATTTAATACTATAGATACTATACTAAGACTTTTAATTATGATTAGTTAGTCATTAGGATAAATAATACGTCTTCAGTAATGTAAATTGTAAATACATATATTAATATCAAAAATTTACCATATCATCTATTATTTCTGCGAAGACTTCCGAGAATGCTTCGCGTAATCACGTTTCTATTCTCTCTAATATTTCTCCTTTCTCTTAATCCCCATTCGTTATCGGGATCAATCTCTAGCAGTTTATTGAGATCAATCATTGCATTCGCGGATTGCTTAAGTTTTAAATAAGCTTTCGCTCTCAACCGTAATGCCCAAATGTTGTCTGACTCTATGCCCACTGCTTTATTTGCCTCGCTTAATGCATCCATGTATCGTCTGAGCTTGAGCAAAACTTTCACTTTTAAAAGCAACCCTGATATGTTATTTGGCTTATTCCTTAATGACTCATTGGCATCGGTCAATGCATTCTCGTATTGTTTCTGCATTAAATAGATTTCCGCTTTCAATCTCAGGCCCCAGGCATTTTTCGATTCAAATCCTAATGACATGTTGGCATCATTCAATGCGTTCTTGTACTGTTTAAGGTTAAGATGAATATATCCTCTTACTCTAAATAATCGCGCTTTGTTACTTGCTTCAGTCTGGATACTCAATAACCTGTTAATTTCCTTCAATATCTCGCCATGCTGTTTAAGCGCGAGGAAGATATCTGCTTTTATTCTCAGTGTTGGCGTTGAATTTGGTTCGATCGTGAGCGATCTGTTGATGTCATTCAACGCGTTTGCATATTCTGCACGTTCATAGCCAATTGTTCCTCTTACGCGTAGTGCCCATGCGTTATCTGGCTCCATCTCCAATGATTTGTTTATATCATTGATTGCATTGCTGTATTTTCTATTCTTGAGATAAATTCTTCCTCTCAGTCTCAATGCCCATGCATCACCCGGTTCGATTCTCAACGATCTTTGGACATCCTTTAACGCCCTTTCATACTTTTTGTATTTGAGATTGAGTTCACTTCTTACTCTAAATGTCCAGGCATTTTCTGGTTCAATCTCAAGTGATTTGCTGACATCGTCCATTGCTTGTTCATATTTTTTATGCCTAAGATAGACATTTGCTCTTATCGTCAACGCCCATGCATCGTTCGGCTCGATATTCAACGAGCGATTGGCGTCATTTAGTGCATTTTTATACCGATTTTGCTTGAGATAGACTTCTGCTCGTACTTTCAGCGTTTGTATATTGTCTGGTTCGATTGTCAGTGATCTCTCGATGTAATTCAATGCATCTCCATACCTATTAAGTTTGAAATAGATCTGTCCCTTAACTCTCAATGTCCATACATTATTCGGTTCGATTTCTAATGATCTATTAATGTCATTCAGAGCTTCGTCGTATCTTTTAAGCATGAGATAGACGTTTCCTCTTATTCTCAATGACCACGCATCATCGGGTTCACTCTTCAGCGATTGATCCACATCTATTAATGCGTTTTCGTAATCGTTCTGTAAAAGATAGGCATTTCCTCTCACTCTCAGCGACCATGCATCATTCGGCATAAGCTCTAACAATCTATTGGTATCACTCAACGCATTCTTGTACTGTTTGAGCATAAGATGGACAGCACCCCTCACTCGTAGCGCCCAAGTGTCATCTTTTTCAATCTTCAAAGACTTGCTGATATCGTCCAATGCTTTTTCATATAGTTTCCGCAAAAAGTAGACATTTCCTCTTATTCTCAGTGCCCACGCATCGTTTGGGTTGATATTTAATGATTTATTGGTATCATTTAATGCGGCAGAATACTCCTTGCGCATGAGACAAATTTCTGCTCTTACGTCCAATGCTTGGTTATTGTTCGGATCCGTTCTCAATGATTCATTCGTATTGCTCAATGCCTCATCATACTGTCCAAGCCTGAGATGAATATGTCCTTTTATCCTCAATGCCCACGCATTATTAGGTTCAACCGCCAATGAATTGTTAATATCGTTCAATGCATCGTTATACATTTTGAGCATAAGATGAACATTCCCTCTTATTCGCAACGACCATCCATTATTCGGCTCGAGAACCAGTGATTTATTGATATCTTCCAATGCTAATTCATACAAGTGCTTTACCAAATAAACATTTGCTTTTATTCTCAACGACAATGCATCGCTTCTTTTGGCCTCTAATGAACGTACAGCATCGTTGAATGCATAGTCATACTGCTTGAGCATGAAATAAATATTTGCCCTCACTTTTAATATTCCTTTATTGTGTTTATCGAGTTTCAGCGACTTGTTAGCGTCATTTAATGCATCTTGATATTGTTCGAGTTTGAGCTGGACGCCGCTTCTTATCCTCAATGCAAACGCGTTTTCCGGTTTAATTTCTAGTGATTGGTTAATATTTTCCAACGCGGTATTATATTGCCCAAGTCGGAGAAGAGCTTTTCCCTTTATTGCCAATGCCAATGCATTTTTGCTTTCAGTCTCCAAGGACTTGGTTGCGTCTGCCAACGCCTCTCTATACTTTTTCATTTTGAGATAAACATTGCCTCTTGTTCGTAAAGACGATGCATCGTTTGGCTCGGTTTCCAATGACTTGGTGACGTTCATTAATGCATCGTTATACATCTTTTGTCTAAAAAAGATATCAGCTTTGACCCTTAACGCCCATGCATTATTGTGTTCAATATCGAGTGATCTATCAATATCATTCAATGCACGGTCAAACTCATTGAGATCATTATAGACTTCGCCTCTGACTGTCAAGACATACACACTATTTGGCACCATATATAAGGCTCTATCAAGATCACTTAATGCATTGCGGTGTTGCCCGAGTTTGTTATAGACGCGTCCTCTTCTGCTCAATACCCATGCATTGTCTGGGCCTAGTTTATTAAGATCCTTGAGTGCATCGTCGTATTTTTCAAGGTTGCAGTAAACACAGCTCCTTATCCTCAATGCCTTTGGATTATCTTGTTCAATTTCTAACGATCTACTAATGTTATCCAAGGCCTCAACGTTTTGCTTAAGCTTGAGATAGATATTCCCTTTTACTCTTAACGTCCAAGCGTCATTAGGTTCAATGGTCAGTGATTGATTAATGTTTTCCAACGCATCCGCATACCGTTCTAATTTGTATAGAATTTCTCCTTTTACTGTGAGAGCCCACACATTATCCGGTTCAAGTTGTAATGAATTCTCAACATCCTCCAATGCATTATCATAATTCTTAAGCCTGAGCAAACTGTTTCCTCTAACTCTCAATGCCCATGCATCATTTGGTTCAATTCTCAGTGACTTGTTAGCATCATTCAATGCGTCGTTAAATCGTTGGAGATAGATGTAAGTGCTTCCTCGTACTTTCAATGCTTCTGTATTCTTTGGTTCAATAGTGAGTGATTTGCTTGAATCCTTTAACGCTTCATTATATCGCTTCGATTTGAAAAAGATGTTTGCTCTTATTGCTAAAGCTTCATCATCATTTGGTTCAATCTCGAGTGCTTTGTTAATGTCCATCAATGCATTATCATGCTGTTTGAGACTAAGATAAATATCTGCTCTCACCCTCAATGCCCATAAATCATTTGGCTTTATTTTGAGCGATTTATTTGCATTGCTCAAAGCATTGTCGTACTCTTTGCGCTTGAGCTGGATTCCTCCCTTCACTCTTAATGCCCATGGATGATTGGGTTCAATCTCTAACGACTTGTTAATGTCTTCCAATGCATTTGCATACATTTTGAGCCTAAGGCGGGCTTCTCCTCTTATTCTCAACGTCCAAGCGTTTCCTGGTTCAATCTCTAACGATTTGGTAGCATCAGTTAAAGCACTGTTATATTGCTTAAGCCTGAGGTGAACATTCGCCCGTACTCTCAATGTCCATGCATTGTCTGGTTCGATCTTTAATGACAAGTTGGTATCATCCAACGCATCGTTGTACTGCTGGCGAAAGAGCTTGATGGTTCCCCTCACTTTTAAAGATTGTGCATTATCGGGATCAACTTTAAGCGACTCGTTCGAATCGTTTAGTGCTTCATTAAGTTGCTGTGACTTGAGAAAAATGTTTGCTCGTATTCCCAATGTCCATCCATTATTTGGTTCAATATCAAGCGATTTATTGACATCAATCAAGGCGTTATCAAATTGTCCGCGATTAAGGTAGATATCACCTCTTACTCTGAATGCCCATGCGTTGTCTGGTTCTATTTTCAAGGACTTGTTGAGATCGTTCAAGGCGTTATCGAGTTGTTTAAATTTGAGATAAACTCCTCCTCGCACTCTTAATGCCCATGGATTATTAGGTTCAATTTCTAATGATTTGTTAACGTTATTTAATGCATTGTTGTACTGCTTAAGCATAAAATTGACTTCTCCTCCTACTCTCAATGCCCACGCATTGTTCGGGTCAATTCCCAATGATTTATTAATATCATCCAAGGCTGTGTTATACTGTTTGAACTTGAGATAAATATTAGCCCGTAGCTTTAGTGACAGTGCATCATTTGGATCGATATTTAACGATTGATTGAAACAGTCTAATGAATTATTATATTGTTGAAGATTGAAAAAGATAATCCCCTTTGCTTTTAACGCCCATGCATCATCCGGTTCAATCGTTAATGATACGTTGAGATCGTGTAATGCACTTTTATACAGGCTGAGCTTATAATAAAGATTTCCTCTGACCCTCAAGGCAATAGCATAATTCGGATCAATTCTCAAAGCGGTATTTACATACTTCATTGCTTCATCGTTCTGATTAGTCATAAGATACACATGTCCACTCTTACTCAGCGCCCATATATTATTTGGACTAATTTCGAGAAATTCGCAAAGATGTTTCAACGCATCGTCGTATCTTTGAAGATTGAGGAGAACATCCACTTTTGTTTTCAGCGCCAGTTCATTATCTTGTTCGATTTCTGATGCCGTATTCAAATCGCCCAACGCGTTGTCATAACGCCGCAGATTATGAAAAACCTCACCCCTTAATTTCAGTGCTAACATATCATGTGGTTCAATTGTCAGAGATTTGTTGAGATCACGTAATGCATTATCGTGCTGACCCAACATCAAATAAATGTTTCCTCTTATTCGCAATCCTGATGCATTGTTTGGCTCAATCTTCAGCAGCTTATTAATAACGTTCAGGGCCTTGTCATGCTGCTTGAGTTTGAGATAGACCTCTGCCCTAACTTTCAATGATTGTGCATTATTTGCCTCAATTTCCAGGGTGACAGGATTATTACCCTGTTCAACCGATGATTGGTCACCTTGCATTGCTAATTGTTCGAACAGTTTTAATCGGTCATGAATCTCTTTACAAAACGGTCGCTTATCAGGATCTTCATTCCAACAGTCTGTATATAATTTGGTATATTCATCCGGTATTCCGGGTACAGGTTTATCACGAAACCCTTTTAGCCTGTATTTAAAAATTTCAGCACTTTGCGTATGCCCTTCGCACGGAGATTTCCCGCTAAAAATTTCCCAAAATATTACGCCAAGACTGAAGATGTCTGATTTTTTCCCGCACTTGTATGAAGAATTTTTGATTAACATTGGATCGGTATATGCTGCATTGTTCTCTTTGGATGCGGACATTATTTGTTTTAGTACACTAGATAAGCCAAAATCTGCTATTTTTGCAACACCCGCTTGGATCAGAACATTGCGAGAAGACTATAAAGAGCCGCATGTTAATAACAAGCTATCAAAAATTTCATCAGGAAGGAAACAGAAATATATACCAAGTCTTTGTGGATGATATCAATGTCATGCAGATACTGTAGTCCATTGGTGATTTCCACACACAATTTATGTTTAGCTCGTCTTGATAAATTTTTAAAATTCTTCCTCAAGTGACCTTGTAAAGTACCACCGTCAGCAAATTCGAAAATCATGTAATAACTATCGGGCGAATCTGTTACATTGAATATGGTAAGTGACTTGACATTCTAACGTTTTTGATAACAGGTACATATATGCACCACCACCTTACCTTTGCATAAACCCAAGAATTGGATAATATTAGAATGATCTTCCGTTTTGTGATAGTTTTCGAGCTAACATGACGTGTACGTAAAAAGAACGGTTTAATATATACTCATATTCGACTATACCGTTATTTATTACTAGCAAAGTAACGCCAAACCTCTTTGACAAACATCATGTGTAATTCTTCGTCGCAATTACATTTGTTAAAGGACAAGCTTTTCATAGCGACAAATACTCCAGAGTGTTTTATTGTGGCCTTGTATACTGTTACATATTCGCTATGATTAATAGCTTCACGATCTACAATATCGCTGCCTGCATAACAATTAATTATTCCTTCTTGAATGCTTCTGTCGAGCCATTCTTTATATGCATCGTTTGACGGTTCGTTCTCGGTCATGGAAAATTGAGGAAGAATGAAATAAGAGTTGAGAGGAGGAGAAAATTGTTGAAATATATTTGCCGTTTCCAAAGGGAGAGGGTTTTATTGATAAGCGCCCCGCCCTGCTATTTGTTACACGATCGTATCGCCGTCACACACACTCAGCTAAAGCAAGCGTAACAATAAAGATTACATAAAAAAGTGTATCTTTGATGATCATGCCTCGTAGATCGACACACAACTTTGTATTGCAGCACCTTGCATAAGTTTAAGATGTAGAATGCGTCACATGTCCTGAATACAGTTTATTATATTATGATAATCTGGGTAATTACAGATATAATAATATGTGATTATTGACCGTTTTTTCTTCGTAACACAGTACAAAGGAGAATGAATTCAAAATTAGTGGTAACAATAGAGACCGGAAAATAAGAGTAATTAATTCGGTTTTGTTGAAAAGGAGAAACAACCCAAATTTGTACATTTCAAGACTCAATCAATGAACGGGTTTTCTTTATAAAATATGCTATTAAGCAATGATTTTGTGTTATCAGTTTCTTTAACCGACAATATAATAAAAGGAAAAGCTTTATTTGTACTTATTCTGTAAATGAAAAAAAGGCAATTTCGTACACTATTGGTAAACACTTTTACTCATTTCTAAATATTTCTGAGACCCCCATCAAAGTACACGAAAAGTGGGCCATTTTAGTATTCGTTGATTTAACATACCTTATATTGACTATTTTATAGTTTCAACAAAACACAAGTAATGACGCATACAATAAAGTTGCTTTTGGATTTTATCTTTTATATACTCATACTGGTAAATCAAATTGCAATTATATTTTCACGTACAAGAATTACCATGTAGGCCCATGTGATGCGACCGTATTAGATATATTAGTGTTACGAATACAAGTCACCGCGATCACCACCACATATCTAGGCGAATATTCCCGTATTAATAACTTTTCGTATCCTACTAAGATTCAGGACAGCCTAACCCGACGAGCATAAATTGATAATATTTTGCTTAATGTTGTATCGAGTCATAATTGCTCTCTCTTAGTCAGCAATTAAAGTATAGTATTAACTCTTCGCTAGGAGTTGGTCGTGACCTAGTAATAGCGTTCTCCATAATAGATTTTTTGAATCGGTTATTCTCGTCCTATCATCGTTATAGTGTCAATGGCAATTAATATTTGCATATTTAGCTATCAAATGAGGTATTGATTATGTTAATTCCTATGACCATAAAAAATCGAGATCTGTACCTACTATCTATACAATATATCCTCCCCTACACGGTACCCTGGGTACTAAATAAACTATGAGAATACCCGATTATTGTCTTTTTGTTTGAACGTGTCAGTTCAATTATGAATATTGTATAAATTAACTTACGATTTGGTATTTATTTGTTCTTTATGTTTTATTTCTAAAATATTTTCGCATTAACCAAAAACTAAATTTATGCCAAGACATCGTCACGCACGTGGTAGATACTTTTATCATAAAAGCAGCTTTGTAAAATGAATACTATACTAGGCTTTACTTTTTAAAATCAGTGAGCTTGAGTATACCCCCAAAAAGGAAAGACGATTATAACATCGACAATTATTTTGCAGACGTAATGTTTCACTGACAGGTTTTTTATTGAACAGTTATTATTTTACCGATAATTAAACATTCACCAACATTATTTCAAAATTATTTTTTTTTGGTAGTTGACCGTCAGTGAAATTAACCGAAATAATTATCGGCGAAATCAAGCGATTAGCCGGTAAAGTAACCCCTGCCGGTGAAATAATTGTCGGCCAAATCAAGCAATCTGCCGGTGAATTAACCCTGTCGGTGAAACATTACGTCTGCGAAATGATTGTTAATACAAACCCAATAAAATGCAAGGAAATATCCATTAGAAACTTCAGAATCTGAATTAATCAAATCGAGATCTATTTCGCATCAATGTTACAGCTAGTGTTTCATCAATCCTTTATTTTCGTATGCAACTGGCTTATCGTCAACAAATCTTAAGTTTTTCCAAAATGTGGTCATAAAAATAAGCGGTCATAACGAAAAGTAATACTCGATAAGTCGGGTGGGCATGGCTGTCCGACTTATCGAGAAATCTGAGTTATCGAGGGACCAATGTAGCACAATTGCCTTTAACATTATGAGACATATTTGCTTTCGGATTATTCAATAACATAATTTATTTAGATAACTTAAGAAACAGATAAAGAACGAACAAAGTTATTACTATTGCTTGTTTAAATAAATGTCCAAATTAGTTTGTTTTAGCGAATTGATTTGTTTTTTGTTTTAAATCTCTTAACCCGAGACAATTGACTATTTACTTCTATACCCGCATTCCATTATTATAGCTTTGACTTTGGTCTTTATTAAAAATTCTGAAAGTTGGGAAATTAGCCTTTTCCGAATATTTAAAATAAATAAAATGCGTTGTTTCGAAATACAAATAATCGAATAATATCATCAATGAATATTAAAATTACAATGGCGCCTTGAATTATCAAATAAATAGCAAAGTTACCAATGACATAACGTGTTGTAAACATTTCTTTAAATTGTTTCTAAATCATCAAATGATATAACGAGGTATAGTCTTAAATGAAATGGCAAATGATCGGTAGTAACATGACATCTACAAAAATCTTTTGTTTAGTCACGTGAATCCGACTTATCGAGAGTCATTTACTAGTATCTGAGAGTTTATACATGTCGTCCGACTTATCGAGAAAAATTTAAATATGAAAGTAGGGGGTGAGAGATTTTGTCCGACTTAAGCCAAATTCGACTTATCGAGTTTCAGTATACAATAAGTGATAAATAAGTAACAAACACTTGAAAGAAAGTTACTAAAATAGTAATTTCTTATCAGTTTACGCAATAAAAGTGGGCAATGTTGATTTATGCAATAATGTAAGACAATGGATAAATGAGAATGGAAGGCAAAAAAAGAGGGATTATATGGATACTGAAACCGAGGTTTCTGTCACAGTATGCTTAGTTGACTTAAACGGTACTCCTTTTTTTCAATTATTTTGGACCTACCATGCCGATTCCCATGGTATAGTATACGCTCATATGACAAAAGCTCGTTTACAATCAGTAACAATAGAAATATCTGAATTATATCTCAAGACAAATAAGCGATAATTACATTATCAGACCTTTTAAGCGGTACTTAAAACACTTCAAAACAACGACAACGGATTCAAGACCCGTCCAGTGTGAGTTCGAGTTCCATTTTGGATTTGATCAAATTTGTCTGTCCTATTTGCAGGTAAAAAAAGAGTATGCTGAAGCGAGTATGGATTGATGGTCGTGTGGCGAGAAAATACTTGTATAAAATAACTTTTATTATACTTTGTACGGTAAACTGCCGCTTGATATGCCACAGAAGAAAGTTGATGTTTACTGAGGTAGGCAGAAAGTTATAGGCATGCTCATAGTGAATAGAGCCTTCTGAAACTTAAGCAACTGCAATGTATGAGAACTTGTACATTTCAGATCGGTGGTGGTAGCTTGGATTGCGATCCTCAAGTACAGATGTTTAGATTGCGATCGCTGGACCTAAACCACTTTACTCGCTTATAACATGTATGGGAAATTGCGTTTGCTCATACCTCTCTACATTAGTGGTCGCTCAAATGGAAATTGAGGCTTACTGAGGTAAACAGAAAGTTGTAAGCACATAGTAGATGAATCTTTTGCACAGACCGGTGGTGGTAACTTGGGGGTTGCGATCGCTGGACCTAAACCACCCTACTCGCTTATAACGATGTGTAAGGAATTGCGATTGCTCATATTCCTCTAGGTGACATATTTTTACTAAAACTCTTTCATACTAATAAGGTGCGTACAATGAGAAAAATATGTGTACAATATTTTTTTCAACTCGAAATTATTTGTCGAATAATTTGATCAACAATATACGGCTTACAAATCAACGTTTAAAATTTGTCAATACTATACTATACGTTACGCTTTATCGAACCTTTCAATTACATCTCATTGAATGAACCGTTCTGTGAGTAATTAGCAGAATTCACACTATTTTTCCTAATCTTCGGCATTGTCATAGAATCTGTGAGCATTAATATTATTTGATATGCGATTCTTCTTGTGACAGTGATACATGCAATGTCTTCCAAATAAACGTTCCAAACTTTCAATTTTTTACGTATGTAAACGTGGATTTGACATTGTGATATAATTATATATGACGGTACTCAAACGTTGTGAAGTATATTTAATTGTCATAATCGATAGTGCAGTAATTTGTTACGTGCAATACTATTTATTGTATCACGAGTAAGATTCAAGTGTATATGAACGATATAATAGAAAGACGTACGAAAATACAAGTGGTAATATCACAAGTTACTTGCGCTTATATAGATTATTTAAAACTTTATGCTAAAACCTACAAACGTTAAAATAGCATGTATATTTATAACAAACTCAGTTGTTTATACGCAAGTAGTTTGATATCGTAATGCTAATAAATAATTTTATAATTTCGTTGTCTATACTGTTTCAATCTGACACATATATCCATTCCGAATAAACATATGTCAGATGTGAATTTATGTCCATTCCGAATAAACATAATTCCAAACTAACATATGTCCGTTTGGAATGGACATAAATGTCTATCTGACATAAGTTTATTCGGTGACATATGTTTATAGACATAAAGTCCAAATCGACATGCAACATCTGTAAGCATTGGCGGTGTGACTGATGGTTATACGATAATTTTTTGTTTGAATTGGGAGCCGGTGCTGTTAACGTATTGACTTTGAAGATTGTCGTGTTCTTGTTTGAATGAGGATTGATAACCATGGTCCCAAAAGCACGCATTGGGTTGGGGAGATGTTTGAGAATTAATAGCGTAGTAGTTTATACATTTGTATTATAATTGAAAAGTAATTAGCAATTATCGATGTAGTAATATGATAACAGTTTACCGAGAGTGCATTGTTATTGGGTCCTGTTATTGCACCGATATGTTTATACGTTGGTTTTTTTTGAAACATATAATAACAGTTCAGGGAGTGGGGTTAATTATAATGTAATAAAATAAGCCTATTAAAAGCTAAAAATTTGTTTTAAAACAAAATTGTTATAGTATTGATATCCCTAATAGAACTAACAAGCAAATAACTGTATTTGTTTGTAGCAACCAGTATGAAGAGATAGACGAATATTACGGAAAATTTTTATTAAAACATGCATTAAATGATTACGTACGGTACTTGTCAATGGAAAGCAGTATGTCATTTCTATTCTATATAATGACGAAAGTAGAGTTCGATTACTATTATGATTAATTATGTTTACAGATGACAGATTTCAGCGTTAGTTGATAATAATTACTGATGCGCAAATAATCAATATTTTCTATTCAACTTAATATTAAAATCGATTTGCCATTTAATTGTATGATGGGTAAATGATTAAACTGTATTAAAAAATTTTTTTAAATTAAAAAAAGAGAGAGGTAGATAATGTAGTTACTGTACCACATAGAACGAGCAATCATTTGATTATACCGAGACAAAACATTTACAAAATAGATAATTGTCGTTCACTGGATCTTTATGTATGATTGTTTCAATGGTGATTCAACGTATTGATATCACCGACAAGAACGCGAAAAATGTTTTATTTACCATAAAATTTGCAGCCGAACAGCAAAAAAAGTATGAAAACGTATTTTCAATGTAATACAACTGCTATAAAACACAAGCTCGCATGCAGAGTGGCTCAACTATTAATTTAGGCAATTGTGTCAGTGTCAGATATGACATTTTCTCCCTCCTCTATCGTAAAACGAATTACCAAACACTTTTGCTAAATGGAGGTCCAAACAATGTTCCTCTCTGTATGCAGTTTCCAACTATCTAACTATAATACGTATGTGTAACTTAGAAATAAAATCTCACAATATCGATATTGATTTGCTATACTATATATGCAAATCAACTATACGTAACTATATGGATATGTTTGCGCACCATCTTCTTAAGTTACACAATTTTTTTAAAGTTTATCGGCAGCTTATTTACTATATGTTGCGATTGTTATCATGAAACCTAGTGCAATATACGTTATATTACGATGCATTGATCTCGTTGATCGCAAAATTGTTCGTAAACCCATATAAGTCGCTCATAACTAAATCTTTTTGCTTTTTTATTTGTGCTTTGACTAATCTACTTGCCTATGATGGTCAGTTGTGCTACAACTCTTACAATAATTGAATATAAGTATCAAAATCATTTTATTGCAGCGCATTTATCCCTCACGAGGTTTAAGCTATCTACGTAAATAGATCGAATTTAATCGGCTTCCCTGGAAAAATTAATCGTTATTAGTTTGTCGGTTATTATAATAAACCGTCAATAATTTGTTTAAACAAATAGATTAGAGAAAATATCGTATGGTTGTCTGTTAGACGAATACATAATAACGTCTTGTCCATTATGCCATGCCTTACATAACATTATTTCTTATAAACACCAAATCTAATATAATCAATTTGATCTTGCTTTTACAAAGTAATTAGTATATCCGGCCTTTATTAATAGTATATCGGTCAGTGACTTATTTGGTACTATGAGAGTCTATTGTATTATAAACTTTTAAGGTAAGCTTTGTGTAAATATTGAGGAAATACATCGTCATAATCAGTTATAGAAATGATGTGGTGGTAGTCCACATTGTAGCTGAACAACGGTTTATGTCGAAATTGGTATTATATTTTTCATGATGAAAGAGGCAGACGGATTAGTAAATTAGCAAGAGGCAAAAATAGTGGAGCGAGGTTACTTTTAGTTTGTATTTGAGCATCAAGCATTGCATTAATAATCAAGGGTGAAGAGTGACAGTTATTATTATGAAGGATAGTCTATTCGCCTGCAGACCTCGATACAAACTTTTCGGTTCCCACTATTAATAAATATATCCATTCGTTCTTAATTATTGCTCGTCATTTGAAACTTGCATATTTTTTTCCTTCATATTGCGCATTCACCCCGCATTTCTCACGCTATGATCCTTGCTCCTTACCACCTATTATTTTCTTGCGATCTTCTGCGGTGATCGATCCAAATGACCTCCGTACATTTGTGTGACCATAGAGGGGCCTAGATTGAAAGGAGTATGAACGCCATTATTAGAACAAATATTGTACAGCATAGGATAGGCATTAGGATAATGCACAGAGAATAATTTTACGGCAATGACGGTCCGTTTCAACTATAATGGTTTAGCTTCGTACAAATTAAAGACCATATGCTTATGTAAAAAGAATCAAACTTTTTCAACTAATTGCTTCTGAAGCACAATTACCATGTTCATGATGCAATAATTGCGTTATTCAATGTACAAACATAGCATGTGAATCCGGATAGATATAATAAATCTAGCTCATCTCTTTGTAAATCTTATATTTGTAGTTTTTCTTTATACAATGTTATATGCACTATAAAACTCATACATAATTTGCCGCTCACTGTACGTTTTAATTAATTCGCTCACCCCTCTCTCTGCTGTGTACTGTCGATGTAGTTATTATAAAAATGTAAATATTTAGTTTAGTCTTCCAAAGCGAATACCCAATCGCCAAATAGTTGCACCATTAAACCGCCATATCAATTTAGACTTACTCCATATGGAAACGGCAGACTCACGCTGATAACGAATCAGCTTTAAAGCATAATGGTGGGCGACATAAATGGTAAGAAACTAACTATGGTAAGCCATGCTGATTGATACAGTTAATAGAAATAAGATAAAATCATTGTTACTTTTTGATTTATCTTAGCGCACATGATCCAGTAACTATCTACTCCAAAGCGTTAATAAATAGGGCCATTCCTCTCATTCGGGTTGCAGTTACAATAAATTTGCTTTTTTTCCATGAAGTGATAATCACACATTCTTTCATACAACAACCATACTTTTATCTATCCAACTAACGCCTCTCCGAATTGTCCACATTAGCAAAATGAGCAATTCGTCGATTAAGTTGTTGTGTCTTATCGATATTATATCTATAGTATTATCCATATACATGGCAATAGTATTTTACAGAGCAAAACGAAATCCAATGATGTTTTATTTTACATTGGGCATCATTTTTCTAAACGCGCTGGCGCTCCTTGGGTTTTTATACGACTTTGATTGGCACAAAGCACCGTTAGCATTGTGTTATTTTCAGGCAATAGCGGTGAGTATTTTGAACAGAATAATTTAATCCATACGCAAGTGAATCCATACTGATTATTAGAATATATTATCAGGCACAATTCGGAGCCTTTGTAACAGGAATCTGTGCATTTAATTTCATAATCCAAGTATACCGTCTTCTTGTCCTTCGTAAACAATCCGAAATAGCAGATTCCCGATTGATTTCTTATTACTACGGATCAATGATTGCCTATCCAATTATCGGCACTATATTAATAACTTTCGTAGCTATCAAGACAAATGCTGTGGGAGTGAGAGACTTTAAATGGTAAGCGATCAATGTAAATTACAAAAGTCAATGGATTTAAATATAGTCAAAGTGTAAAGTATTCAGTTTGGCCAAACTAATTTCATTTTTTTCCTCAATCAGTGACATAGTTGGACCAATCTGGGCTCGTCTATTTGGTTACAATGGAATCAACCTCTTCATATCTATACCAGGCACATATTTCTCCGCTCGCGCAACTTGGGCAGTACTACGTCATTTGGATCAATTCAAAACAAAAACATCTTCTATTCAAAGCCGTACACCCATGATAGAATCTAGGAATGTTGACGGTGAAACTCCTGTCATACAGGAAAAGCCCAACTTCATAGCACCGGTTCTCAATTCGAGTACGAATAAAGCATACAACGTTACACGATCTGCAGCTATTCGAATGGTTTTCTTTACAAGTGCTTATCTTATTTCAAATTTTCTTGCATCTGCAGAGACTATTATCTTTGTAATGGAAAAAAAAGCTTTAGATCCACATCCTGGTGGATCTGACATAACTTTAGTATCCCTCGGAATTGCACTGTTTTTAATATTTGGAACTGCGAGTGATGTCAGAAAATGGAGTTTTGAAAAGTTAAAAACGTTTTTCAGATTTGGACGGAGAACAAATCTTGATGGGAGGAGAAATGTTTCAAGCACATAAAATGTACAGATAAAAATAGCAAAAAAATAACCAATATTTATTGTAACTAAAACATTTACATGTAAAAAAAAATTGTTAGAATTATTGTTATATTATAATAAATACGATTTCAACATAGTTTGTTTAAACTTGTAACAATCTAGATGCGCTCAATGGAGGCTAGAGTAATCTTGCTAAAAAAATACATATATGCGTGATTGACAATGTACACTAAAAGTGTTTGCTACGCTACTTATCGGCGATATTGTCAAAATAACAAATCAATACTGGGTTTGTAGAATATATTTTTTTCTTAAATTAACCATCAGGGTATATTGACAAAAAATACAGATAAGTAATTTAGTTTTGCGTTTAATTTTGTAAAAGTAATTGGTTTATGCTACTAAGCGAAACGATAGCGTTCATCATAAGAGTTGAGAATAGTTTTTTTTTAATACAAGCTCAAAATTATTGAGCGAACAAAATTGTTAAGATATTCAATTAAACTTCCACTTAAACGTTATTGAAAAATTGCGTCAATGCTGTTTATTGGTTCTACCGGAAATTAGTGTTGTTAACTGCATTGTGTTACCACGTATTTGAACACCCGGGCTCTCCGTTTGATCACATAGCCGATCAAGTTAAGGTAACACTTGCGTAACTTGCAGTCATTGAAAAATATCTCGCGGGAGGGAAAGTTCCGTTCCGTGGAGAACCTATCAAAGTATGTCTTAACTCTATATTAAACGTAATGGCAAAGAAACCAAAAATACTATCCATGCGTGCTATATATTCTTTAATTATTATGAGTTTTTTAATTATATGCACCAGATTATAAGAGCGCAAATTATAGTATTAGATTATTAGATCAAACATCTTGTATTGTTAAATGTTTGATTATTCAAGAGCAAAAAGTACATAGTCTCTATAGTCTCTGAATGCTATAATTTAATTTTTCTCTGTTACTTTACAACTTTATAATTGATTTAATGCAATGCACCAACAAGCGCCATCTGTCTGTTCTATTAAACTTTTATTGAGTGTGTAATCAAGTCAAGTCTCAGTCCAAACAAGTTTTAAGCAACATTAACAAGTCTACCCTAGTCAAGTATAGATAACATCTTTAAGCTTTGATCTTTTACCGCATTTTTATTTCTTAACGCTTCTAAAACGTTTTAATTTATTCAATTTGGATATATTACTTTTAAATTAAAGTACACTCTCGCCATTCACTGTTTTAACTATTTTTATGCTTAACATATTTAGATACATTAATAATTATTTTTGTTGGCATAGAATAGAGCGAACTTGTATTGTAACACATCACGCACATGACAATCATAATATTTGGTTCACCCCCGCAAAATGTGATTGGCTTTGATTTTACCAAGCTTTGCGTGGCGTGCTAAATGATCTGCTTCGATTGTAACGATTTCCGAAACATAGGGGAGGTGTAATACTCATACGACGATTTAAGGAGACTAAGCTGCATGGAATGTGCATCCACTAGTCGAATATGCAAAGACCCCGGTTTACGTCTCCACATCGTACATCCTAAAATAAAATATCGATTTTGGAAGGATACGAGTTCTTAATAGAATAGAAACCGTTTCGGGTGTTATTCTTGAAATCGTAATCACGCCACACTATCTCTGTTTTAACTCCCACCCCGATGACTCTTCTGAAACAAGCAGGCTTTCGCTATTGACCCAAATTAGTAACGCTAGTGTGCGTGCATGACATATGACTCTATGGCGCATCCTAATAAAAGCGTTCTATACTAATTTACGCAATAAATAGAACTATCTCTCGTTCAATGTCTAACCGTCGACTCTATTTCATATTCTTCTTCAATTAGAATGGCGAGCCTAATAATTAACCTATTAGTATCAATTGATTTTGTATCCCTGCTATTAGCCATATACATGGCGATAATATTCTACAAAGCAAAACCAAATCCGATGATGTTTTACTTTACGCTGAGTTCTATAGCCCTAAATGTGCTAACATTGCTGGGATTTGTATATCACTTTGATTGGCACACGGCACCGCCGGCATTGTGTTATTTCCAGGCTATAGGAGTGAGTCTTTGAAGAAAAAAATTGACTCAATTTGCATGAAAATTTCTGCAGTTATACTAACTACTTTAATAATTGATAGGTACAATTTGCAACATTGCTTACAGGAATTTGCGCCTTTAACTTTATAATTCAAGTTTACCGTCTTCTCGTTCTTCGTGAACATTCTGAGATTACCAACTCGAGTTTGATATCGTATTATAATGGTCTTATGATTGCATATCCAATTATAGGGACTGTAATAATAACACTTGTGGCTATAAAGACAAACGCTATAGGCGTTAGGGATTTTAAATGGTGAGTGTATATAAGACTTTTGTCATTTGCATTATTGACATTAACGAGAAAAAAATATAGCATATCTAAATCGCTTGCATATATTATTTGAATATTGTTTACGTCCGTCACTAGTGATATAGTTAGTCCGATCTGGGTTCGCCTGTTGGGTTACAACGGCATCAACCTTCTCGTATCTATTCCAGGCACTTACTTCTCAGCACACACCACAATAATAGTAACCCGTTATCTGGATCGATTTAAAACAAGCAGTGCCAATACCCAAGGCCACGCGCCAATGATAGAATCTAAAAATGCCGCTAAAACCGTGACTGAAGATAGTGAATCTTCTTTTCCGCGACGGTCACACAATTCCCATGTTACATCCAGTTCAAATAAGTCATATAACATTACACGAACTGCTGCTATTCGAATGGTATTCTTCACAGTTATTTACCTCATTACGAACATTAGTGCTTCGATTGAGACTATTGTCTTTGTTATGGCTGGTAAACCGTTAGACTCGCATCCTGGTGGGTCTGACATAGTTTTAGTATCCCTCGGAGTTATACTGTTTTTAATTTTTGGAACTGCGGATGATGTAAGAAAATGGACCATTGAGAAGCTAAAAATTTTTAAACCAAAAAGGAGATTAAGTGATAGACAATTAGATTGGTAAATGCTTACAGAAAAAAATACCAATATTGTACGTATATATTCATGTAAAAAAATTTCTGATTACTATTATATTACAAATTACAAAAATTTATTAAACAAACAGACACCACTTTATTGTGTTTATCTATCATTAAACATTGTTACATTTTACATAGTAATAAAATTATATTGCTTAAAATAAATTGCATAATACAAACCTTGTCATGTTGCAGCTATTTGTTTACATTAATATTATAAATTATGCTATTGATAAATAATAAGTTCAGAAATAAGAGTAACAAATATTTTACCAATATTATTTAGACTTGTTTAGCTAATCCTTCATTAAATTTAAGAGTAAAAAAAATCGGTAAGCAGCGCAGTCCGATTCTAATGTTTTATATAAACTCTTACTCCACTGTATTCAAACTAATTGTTAGCAATGTTTACAGAAAAAAATTAATTTTCGAAATTTGAATAAAATTATCCAGTAACATCCAAGTTACACAATCTGATCAAAACTAAAAGTTTGTTTGTATGTGTTTTCAAACATTGTTATGTCTGTATCTCCAATCTCAAGTCCCACAATTCTAAAATAAACTGGGTGTAATTATGTTGACTTGGTTTCATATACAGTTAATTCGACCGCCCTCCGTTCCGGGGGTCATCGGTCGAATTAACGTTTATCCAATCAACACATTTTAATGTGATACAGAATTTTATTTATCGTAATAAATTTTACACGTTATAAATTAGTCTTTAGTAATTATCAACTTTATTTTCGGTCAAATTTGCAATTAACCCAACAGAGTAAAACCGTGGTTACAAGCTTATCGTAAAAAAAAGTTCAATAGACGTTTGTCTAAGTAAAGATAGATGGTGTAATGTGTGTAAGGCTTTTTTCTCGATCGAGAAGTCCATTGCAACAAGCATTCATATAAGATGCAATTTTCTAACGATCGTATTAACGGACGTAATTATAATACTATTTATACATGCTGGCTTAATAGAAAATTTTTTGGGCGATTAAATTACAAATTATCAGAAATTCATATGTAACGGTCGAATCAACGGAAAAAATTTTATATGACAAAATCGGGTAATTGCTCCAGGCGGTCGAATATTGGAAAGTCGAATTATTCGGGAGTCGAATTAACGGCAATTGACTGTATGCAAAAAACGTAATTAGTTTCAATAAAACTCGAATTGTTTTATGCCAATATTTACGTTTATGGTTTTGGTTTATGTATGGTGGGGGACACATATATGCATCAAACAAAAATTGATGCATTTCCAACAGTAATACAAGCATTACTGTATTAATAATTCAAAATTTAAGAACGCCATTTTGTTCTTCTTGATAAACGTTAACAAACTGCGTTTAGAAAATTGACAAATGTTACATGTGGTTTGACATATAACTGTTCAAAGTTTGGTTAATTTATATAGTGAGCGGAAATTTGAAAAAGCCTTTTCTGGTAAAATTTATCTTAAATTTGGTACATTTTTTAAGGCTTTAACAAAAAAGGAAATCTTGTGTTACATTACCATTGGATAAAGTTACTCTTAGAACGAAAAATTTCGTCTTTAATATTAAATTGTAATAATGGGTAGGCCCTGAAACGATTTTTGAATAAAAATTAATAAAATTACCATTGTTGATTATTGACATTTTCAGTAATGATTTCCCCTTGAAAATTGAAACAATTTGATGCGTATATGTGTCCCTCACCATACAATAATTATTTTTCAACAGTTTGTTTTTCTGGCTTTTCTTTGATATTAATTATTTATCAGAGATAGTCATAATTTGTAAAATACTTTAAATTTATTTGTCGTCACAACTATAATTTTTCTGTAAAATATTAATTTGTTAAAACGCCTAGACGTGCTACCAGATTTATTCTACTTAGTCTGACTGCGGGCAAAAAATAGCTTCGAAACAATTGTTGAATATAAGCGCTGAAAAATAAGCCGCTGGGAAATAAACTGTCGTGGAATGGTTCAAGTTTTGGTAAACTTGTTAATTAGTTTGTGGAATGAAATATAAAACGTAAGCTAATGATTAGAAGAAATATTCTTTAGTTTAGTAAAACTTTTGCTTCATAAGGGGTATAGAGCTGGCTGTTCTGACCGTCGTTTTTTGTCCTTTTGTACCACTGAGTGAACATATTGTCCATGAGCATTTCAATAGTGCTCTCATGCATAGAATTAATCATGCAGGCACAATTGTTGGTTATTACTATTTGCGTTGTATTCTACGGAGACTATCACAATTTAGTGTAGCATTAATTGAAATCCGAGTATAATTAAAGCAAGAATAAGATCACTACTAATTGTATTACGAAAATAGGGTTTCGATTAAAAAAGTCCAATTCCAAGACCAATCATTGTCTCTCGCAGTTGTTGTCTCGACAAAGAAAGAAAGTTGATGGAAACCACTTACTCTATACAAAATGGCTGATTTGACCCTTCACATGGGAATCATCTGCTCGTAGTTTCACAAAATACTGCGTCAGCATTAATAGGATGCAACTTTTTAGATAATGTGATGTAGACATTGTTTATGTTTGCATAGTAAAACGGAAGAACGTTACTGTAATAGAACAAGAATATAATATCAGCACTAAATTGAATGTGAGTGGAGATTGAATTTGGTATTCTTACGAACTGCGTCGAGTACAATGTTAAGCTACTAAGTATTTTCTACATGAGTTGCGTCGAAAAGAATGCCATTCCAAACGCATGTGATTCTCCAAACTCCAATTATCGTTATAGGTCAATTAATGACGATGCAATACATCCATAAATAATTAGCGATCATCATAAAGCCGTTTTCACAAGTTTTTCTCACATACGCTCATTTTTGGAATTCGAATCTTGGCATTGCATTGGAAATCGTATGACGCTGCATACATAGTATCAATTTAACAAACTGACGTGATGTAAAGTAAAGCAACATATGTGTCATTACTCGATTGTGCAAAATAGTTTGTAACCGTAATTAACTTACAACATTATATTGTATTTCAACCAAAGTGTTGATTGAAACATATTACGCAATGCTTAAATTAAAGTAAGCTTTTCGTGTGATTACCGTTCACTATCTTTTTTAACTGCGAGACGCAATTTTTTATTAGTTAAGTAATTACTTTCTCCAAAAAGTACTAATAACTAACAAATACAGAATGGTCTCGACTTATCGACAATTAGAGTACATGTAAGCGTATGGGTAATAGTAACTGCAATTACTTATTAATACAATTAAATTATCCAAGTCTCGCATATTTTTTTGCTTAGTCAATGATTTAAAGCCCATTTATAAACCATGCGTTTATTACGACAGTTAACTTGTCAAAACGACAACACATTAATCCGAAAATACAATTCCATCATAATAGGCACAAATATTAACGTCAAACATACAGACTATTGTAACCAAGCAGTACCCGTCTTCTTGGATACTATATCACTTCTAGTTCATAAATAAAATAGATAGTGAAGATTGTCATGCGTAACGTCAATGTGCAATGTAACACAATAAGTAGAGGGAGTTTTTTCTCCGGGAAAAAAATTTTCTTTTCAATTCAAAACCATGTCGTTAGTTGCTAATAATCCAGCAATTGATAACTTGATTCAGGCCTCATCAAATGAACGTTATCGCATCAAACTTGAGTGGATTCCTTGCTCGCGAATTGCCAAAATAAAGCCAACTCAAATTGACAACGTCTACTGCGCTATTCGCAATAATGAGACGATGGTATTACTTGGAAGTAATGAAGAATGCACAGCAACACTTGTGAGTGAGTTTGCTAGAATATACTCACTTCCAACACACAAATACGATAACAATGACAATAACTTTCGACGATACTCCGTATGGCTTACTCGTCGCAACAGACTCATAAAGGGGTTTACCAAGCTTGAAGATAACTATTACATGGTTGCTGATAAACGCTTTTACCAGTATTATTCTCGATATGGCTTCTGCTCCACATGTGGAATACTCCGATGTAGTCCCGTGTGGTGCATTT